GAGCAAGCTCCTATTGTATTGATTTTCGCGATAAATTATACATCTGTCAATAGGAGAAAAAAAGTATCTGCTGTATATATATCACATTCGAATTGACAAAGAAAGCTTTGCTTATTTAACAACATTGAAAAATTTATCTATATGTTCCGTAAAGGCCCTTTCCGATTACAAACCCTTTTACTTTGCGAAACAGTGCTCTCACTCTTTACTAGACCGAAAGACAAAACCCGTGGAAATTAAAGCTCACGCTTAATCATACATACTTTTAATCAGTGTTTATCAATGTTTTTCGCAAAAACGTAAATTTTACGTAAAAAATCGAGAAAATCTCTTTGTGAACATGTTTATTATAACATTAGAGATTGCATGTAGCAAAAACTGGAATTTATTAAATTTTTGCCTCCCTTCGAAATACGTAATGACTCCTTTGAAAATAAGGCGTCAAAAAAATTTGAGTGCTCTACATTAGTAGCAAAATAGGTCATGCATGTATAACTATTTTAGTCAGAAAATAAATACATCACCAAATCTACAAATCTCCAGAAATTGTTTAGAATTGAAATTCTCTAAATTCATTGAGAAACTATTTTTTTTTCTTCTCAAGTTCTTTTTAAATCCTAACACCTCCATAATTATAGTTGCGTATACACACAAATTATCGAAATAAATTTAATGTTTCTTAATTGTAAATAAATGACTCTTTATAATCAGGGGATGCTCACTCCTCCATGGCTCCTATCCCACCTCTGATGTTTTAGACGACCGTGTTTGCTGTGTTCCTGATCTGTATCGTTTGAATGGACTATTGAGATTGAATACTGTTTGTTATCTCCACATTTCATAATATTCTGTTCATATCAGTACACTGTAATTTTCTTTTGTCAGGGAATTAAGGATTTTCTGTGGTTTTCTTTTCACTTGTTATTATAGTAAGGCCCTCTGCAATAGAGCTAAGCTTTAACCTCACAGGAAGCATTTATCATCGATCCCCACTGCTTCTCACGATTGTTCGAACACGTTTTTCCCAAAACCTGCTTACAGTGCATACATAAATCATTTTTCCTTGATAATTTAGTAAAACAATGCAGTACTAATCACTAGTGAAAAAATTTATACTTTTACTTACTCATGTACAAAACAGCTTAAAGATAAATGAAATTTTAAGAAAAACAAATTAGTGTGTCCTTTAGAGACTTTTATGAGTAAAAATCTAGATAGCATCAGTTATACGTTAATAAAGATCGTCGGTTTGTTCTGTGGGTTTATGGTATTGTCCTTAAAATAAAATACGTCAGTAAGGACAGTATACTTGAAACAATTTATAAGGGTGGAGATGGAAGAAAGGTGTTGTCTTCTCATTTCACGTGTCGTGCTGCTTCTGTATCACAGATACATGATAACTAATATATCCAGTATGAAATATTAAGATTAAAAACCATGATCAAGCTTAAGAGTCAATTAAACAAATGAATACAAATTGAAACCACGGCAAACATGCACCTGGAGAAACCAAAAGATTGGATCAGGAGCTCTGGAGAAAGAAGCATTCCTTTGACTTGAAAGGGTAAATAGAATAAAAAGTAACAATTTATACGAAAAACTGCCATTTCAATGAGCATAAAGTTTGTGAAAAGACTTGAATATCAAACTCATTATTACGGCTGTTAGTTTAATGAAAACATTTGATTCTCTTGATTTTAGCTATAGTAAGGTATTTATTTATTTATTCTTTAATTGATAATTTAAAAAGACAGATAACGTTTTTATAAATTCGTGTTTTCTTAAGATTAAATTGTGTTGATCTAAATACCCTTCTTCTTATTTAGGTTAAAGAATGGATGCCGTGAACAAGGTTCGACGACTCTTGATTTAGTTTTTAAAATACATGTATTGAATAAACTTTAAGCTGGTGGAAAGAAATAATTATCAATAGTTTTATTTTAAACTGCATGATATCATTTCGACTTTTATTTCTTTTTTTTACAATACTACCACTAAACAACTTTATTTACTGTATCTTTCTAGTAAGGTCTGTCATCTTAATCATAAATAATAAGGGAAAGGATAAGTATATTTTTTTTTACACTTGTTCCCGAATCCTTTTTGATTTTTGTACTTCTTCTCTGTATTTTCTGCTTGTCATTTTCAAATAAAATATAGTTTAAACAAAATAAACAACTTTTAGCAATGTTACAACAATAACTAAAAAAAATGGTGTACTTCATGATAAATTATATCATGTTGGATAAAGAGCTGTACGTGTCGTGTGAAAGAGAAGCTGAAAAAGAAGGATCAGATGTAATTGTCAAATCATTTGTTTTTCAGATCAACACACAGTGTTGGGCTCCTAATTGTATTGGGGTTTTTATTACCACAGTTTATGCCATTTTTACGATTTTCTGTGTGAATTTTGAGTCAAAAATCGCTCGATGCTCATGCTGTTTGTGCAGTATTGATTATGTTTGTTAACGATATCATTATATTTTATTTCTATTCTTTAATTCAATTGATATGTTGGTATGATTTCATGACTCAATGTCATCTGTATTGTTTTACAAATTACCTTTCATTGTTTTTACTGAAAGAAATCCATTTATTCTACCTAAAAATATTTGCTTATTTCTTTTTTTTTTAATTTTGCATGTGAAGAATATCGAAAAAATGTACAAATGAACTAAAATACGTTTATGCAATTGATCATAGGTATGGATTGATGAATGTTTTACTTTTTCAAATTATTCAATATCATTACTTTTAAAATTTTCTCTTTAAAAACTCTACATTTTTTATGTTTATTTTGTTTTTATCTATTTTAATTTATTTCATTTTTACCTTTCTTGCATTTGTTAAGAAAAGTATTCGTGATATAACTTGTGGCATGTGTTTTGCTGCTGTCGGCGGCCATTTTGAGTGCGCTATTTACCTATGTTAGCTGTAGTGAGCTGTCAATACAACATCAGATTTATTACCCTGATAGATAGAAGTGATCGGAGAAACGCCAATTTTATGAAACATCATTATTAACCAGAACATGATTTATAGACGATGAATTCATTATACTATGCCTACAAAATAATTATTGATATTTATATTATTTCTGCTTTTTTTCAGCTAAAAATAATAATTACAAGCTTTTTTGTTGTAGAAATTTGCGGTAATTTTTTGTAACATTTAGATAAATTAGTTATACTATATGTATTGAATTTCCTTATAATAACTTTTTATCGAATGTTTTGAATTATTTCCAATCAGCAGAAACACAATAATTTTCTTTCACAACAGAATTTAGACTTTACACAACCATTTGTTTGTCATTTCGTAATAAGAATATTAGCATGATTTAGAGGTGATGCAAAACAATCATTTTCCGATTTTATTTCTTAAAAGACATTAATTGAGGCAGTCGATCATCAGCTAATGGTCCCGAGAGGGGGCGAGCAAACAGCAACGAATAAAGCCAGCTTTACACGTTGTATCCATCTTCCTCCATCATCGACAAAGTTGCCCCTGAATCAATCACCCCCTCTCCAAGACAATAGGAAACCTATTTACACCTTGAGCTAGCCCCTCGTGTACGAAACTAAATCCCCACTAAATGGAACAAAAAATGTGTTAGACTCTCGAATGGCGATCATAATTTGTTTCAATCAAATTTGCACATCGCCTTGACGCGGTAATGGAGATGAATTCCCAATAAAGTCCCTTCACAGAACAACACTGATAGTGCTGTCTAAGTTCTGGTAATAACGACAAATTACATTTCTGACTCGTTACTAGCGGCTTCTCATTTTGTAAGAAAAATTTTCAGTTTTCGAGACTGGAACATAAAATGATGTGCACCGTCTTGTTTGCTCAGAAAATCATATTTCAGCAGCCAATGATGAGGGAATTATTTTGTCGACTAAGGTCAAAAATCAATTAATTTTCCATTTACAAATGCATTGTTATTTTTTTTTATCATATTTCACAGAAAATTGTTTGCGTACGAATTGGAATAAAAATAATAAATCCTCTGAAAGTTGTTTTCCTATTTTTTCATTGTTGAATATAATTTGATTTCTTATTTATTTTCAAAGTTGCCTCTTTTAATATTTTCCAAAAGATCTTTCTTGTTCTATATTTTAAGCTTTTATACAATGTGAAAATATTTAGGAAAAATAATCATTCGGGTTATTTTAAATTCAATATTATCTCACTCGAGACATAGACTAAATTTCTCAATAAATTGAGAATTTTGAAAATTTTCAAAATATTTCAGGAATTGAAAAATTACAAGCAGAGTAGAAATGGTCCTTGTAATAGACTGAGTTTGATTTGAAGAAGATAGAAGGTAAATACGGAGAAGAACTTTGAAGTTAGTGAGAAAATATTTTGTGAAGGTGGCCGTGAAGCAGTTCTTAATCGGATAATGTCAAAAGATAGGAAAATTCCTCAGCTTCAATGACTTAGTAAAAATTTTCTTTTGATATTATTGATGCTTATTAGAGTTATAATTTGAGGGAAGCGGCAAGGTGATAAACTAGGCGAGCCTATAACCCTTAATTATGTCGTTGTGGACCGACATCAATATTCCCTTATACTACTTTTATGAGGAATATATTTGTGTCAAGACATGGAATTAAAAAGAAGACGAAAAGAAAATAAGTTTTCTTGTCTAGTCATAAACATCAACATTTCAGTTTAAGTTTAATAAACTCTTTTAAGTATCAGTCTGAAGTCTTGCGGCCTCTTTGGTTTCAAAATCATCAAGGATTTTTTAAAAGAGAAGTCCTTATTCTATTTTCTTTCAGGATTATATCAATTTTAAAAAACTGTATACAGAATTTTTGTTAAATTCTAAATCAATTTAGAAATCACGTCTATTTTATTATTTAATTTATTTATTTTTAAAATATTTTTTCTACACTTCCGGTTTGGCGAGCACAAGTAGTTTAAGATTTCAAAGCAGGGAGAAATACTTTTCAAAGAACTATGGTAAAAAGTAAATATACATTACTCACCAATAATTTCTAAAAGTTCCATATTGAATTCAGAAGAGCTATAACATAATATGTATTCGAAAAATTGAAAATCCAATGCAAAATGGACTTTGGCAACGGGTAGCCATATTTTTTATGGCTTATTGTTTGGTTCAGTTACGGTACCTTCGTTACGTAACAAAGGGTATGCATTGAGTTTTATGAAATTTGCATACAAATGAAGGTTCTAATTCTACTACTCCTACCCGCAATATTTTGAAATACAAGACTTTTTCTTTTAAAAAAAAATATTAAAAAGAACTGAAAAAAGACACAGATTAGATCCGATTAGATTTTAGTAGAAACCTTTTAAATTGGAACAAATTGCTATAACAAAGGCTGTTAATAGAATTTTGTGAACAGATTGCAATACTGTTATAAATTTGTGATAAATTTCAACTTGTGTCAATGATAACGCATATAGCTATGTCATAAAATCTTCACTAGCTGCTCATTAATTTCATCGTTTAAATGTAACTGATCATTGAAAAAGTCCAAAACATTCTCTAATTTAATTGCCTCTGTATCGGCGGACTTAGAAAACTGCAATTAGACAACGGGATCTGAGGTGGCGGTGGGAAGGCTGCTTCTGGAATCCTCACAACAGATTGGTCGCCGCTTTCTGATCTCCTCCCTCTCCCCTTTTCGATTATTGTCTGGCTTGGTTACTATAAATCTCAGTTATATCAACTGATTTTCTTATTTCTCCAAAAATATTCTTTACGGTTAAGGTATGTTGTATAAATTTGTCAGGAATGTACTCTGTTCTGCATTTATGACTCTGTAGGATTTGTATTGTGAAAATAAGATTTTAGGAATTTTTTTTTGTACATTTCAGGAACGTTTCTATTTCATTATCAAAAACTTCTTAATTAAACCATGTTATAACTATTGTAATGGCCTGAAGATGTTTGTTGTACTGACACGGTGTATGATGTTTTCACGCCTCTGAGTGGTATAATTTACCTTTTGGGTGTAGGATCAGCAGACGACACGCTCTAGCGGCCTGTCAGTCAAACGCTCGTCAGCGCGTGAGCCTCGACTTGGGCAGAACCTATTACCATTAGGTGAACAGTATACAAATCTCACCTTATTAAACGAAATGAAGAGTCACTGACAACCAATGCAGATTAATTAATGTGTGCAATTAACGATTCATTTCAAAGGAACAGAGATTCAAAAGCGACCGAAAAAAAAATTGTGCATAAAGAAAAACATTAAAAAAGAAATCAAATGAAAAACATGTCCGCACCTCGACGCGTGGATTCAGCGGAAAGCATCCGGGACCAGTATGAGGCTCTACGGAAGCTGGCCATGGTGCAAGTAGGACCCCCAAGGAATCCCAATAAGCCCTTTACCTCATTTAGTATTTCTGATATTCTTGGAGGAAATAATAACAATGCCAATCGGCGACAAGTTCAGAGAAACCTGAACAACAACAATGTGAGGAGCATTGTGAGACCCTGGGACTCCAGGTGTAGTCCGGGGAGGGACAGCGAGTGTTCCTCGGACGAGGAGGAGATCAATGTGGAGGACGATGAACCCTCCCTGCCCCTCATACAGAACGACTCCCCCCTGGACGCCCTGATGAAGATGGCCAACAAAACGTTTGAGGGTTTAGAAACTGCAGAATCGGCAGGTATGTATCCATCCATTGTCTTCAGGATACCTCGTCTTTTGTCCAAAAAAAAAAAAGAGAATTCTAGTTTTGAAATGGTCTGGGGATATATTGTGTCTTTGTGAATTATCGTGTATCACTTTTCGATATTTTGAAGAAAGATTCTTTTTACGAAAGATTTTGCAACTGTTTTAGACGCTAAATATTGTTTGTACAAAGAGAAAAGCCCAATGTTTTCGTTTTTCAATTTATTTCCACAACAAAATAATGAAATTAAGCGAAACATGCGGAGAATAATTTTTGATATCAATATATAATTAATTTAAACAAATATTTTATCAGTTCATATGTTCCAATACATTTGTTTGCAAAGGAACATCTTTGGGGAGAAAAAATGCTAAAATAAAAAAACAAATCAGTGTTGAATATAATATAAATATGGTATTTTATTCATGAAGTGTTTAAATAAAATACATGTAGCTCAATTGATACTAAAATTAAAATTTTTGACTCTATTTTAGCAAAAGAACAGTCAAGGGACAAAATGAAAATTAATGTTCGTACTAACATAATGGAATTTGGCAAACCATATGTATAAAAAAAATATTTAATCTAAATTATATATAATATCAACTCAACCTCAATTAGAATTATAAATATTTCTGCGAAATTACAAGAAAAAATAGTAATATATTATAATATTTCTTAAACATGTCTTCTTGGTAACGATTCATAAAATAAGATTATAAAATTATATGATATTGGTATGATTTTTTTCAGCAACATTCAAACATAAAGTAATAAAATTTTATCTTCAAAGAAGTATCATTTTTTCCGAAGATTAACAAGGATTATCAAGGATTATCCATAAGCAATCTTTACATTTATAGTGTGCATTAAATTGTCGGTCTTGTATTTTTGATGGTGGTCTAGGCCTAGAAATTAATTTTTTTTATGATTCAAAATTAAATCTTTAAAGGTTGTAAATCTAAACATTTTCATCGGCAAATATTTCAACTATTTGAAGTAAAGGTGTTGTTAATATGTTATTGCGTAACAAACAAGGAATCCTTGCATGTATCAATTGCTTTTGAAAAGAGCCAAGGGCCAGTTCATTTAAAGAGTTGTCCTACATAATCAGTTTATCCTATCTTTACAACCGTATCAAAGAAGCTTAAATTGGCGAGAAAATGATTTATGAAAGTGAAAAAGACACACAAAGAAAGAATCTCTCGGCGTTTGGAAGTTTTCTCCTTTGAGAAGAATTCTTGTAACATGATGTTTAATGGTAAATCTAAGGAGAAGTTAAAAATGTGGTTCTCAGCTGGGTGTTGGTCAGTCAAGATCAGAAAAAACTCAATTAGGCGTAAAACCGGCCCCACTTCTGCTTGTATCATTACAAATGAGATTTAGACATTGGTGAGAAGGGCCATTACTGAGCATGTCACTGCAATTATCGTCCCATCATACTGACCCGAGCTCTTCTTTAAACCTTCACTTGGTCAGTTCTTCTGAAACATACACAACTAGAATTTTGAAGTAAATATTTCTTTTTAATTTTTCTGTACTTTATCCTTTTTTCCAAATAAGAAAATAAACAACATTGTAGAATTCGAGATGTAGTGTTGAGTTGACATTTTCGAACCTAAAACAAATCTGCATTACTCATGCATTATATATTATTAAAATATTTTTTTATGCAGTACAAATCTTGGAAAATAACACGGGTAGAAAAATTGTGATAATTTATAGCTTTCAATATTATTTTTTTGTCTTTTTATAGGGATAATATTGTTTATACGTGTATATAGTTAAATGCTCCCAATATTATTATTACTGAGAATAACTAGAAGAAAACACACAAATATCGCACAATCAAGTATGCAAACGACAAAGGTTAGTGGATCACCTTTGAAAAAAAGGAAAGGCTGATATGTCATTTAATATTCATATGTAAAATACTTATTTCCGGAGAAAATGGGTCAGCAGAAATTAAGTTTAGGTTTAATATTATCGAATAATCATGCTTTATACTATATCATATTATATTTGCCAAAAGAAAATATGAAGACTTTGTTGTTTTATATTTCTCTACAGAAATCCCGTTCATAAATTCGTAATTCTTAAAGATTACTTTTTTAATAATTAAAAGAATTTATTTTTCTTTCTCCATTTCAATCTTGATTTTTATATCCAATGTAAAGGTTCTCAGTACGTAAATAAAATCAGGTCGATTAGTCAACATTTTGGTGCAGTGGGTGCAAAATTTGACTTAACGATATAAACCAACTGAACGTTTCTTTCCCATCAATCATAATATTAAATTGTGTAATATTTATTAAATTGGTAAACCAAATCTTAATCATAGATATACCTTAATACTTAGGGGGCTTGACTTTGTTGCGTAATTGATTTTTTGTTAAACATTTAGATTTTTTTTATTGAAAATGTTTATATTTGAAATATGGTGTTTTGCAACATTGTCAATCATGTTAATATAATTCCGTAAGTTTCTTAAAATAATTGGTATGATTGAAATGTCCTTTGAATTTACCATTTAGTTATCAACCAATATGCATTCATAATCTCGGGTACAAGAAAAAGAGAAAATATCATCTTTTTGTAATTTTTGCTGTAGACGCAAAAAAAAAAAATAGTTCTCTGATAGAAAAAGATCAAGTAGCAAAAAGAATTATTTGGAATCAGCTCGCAAATGGTGTCAAATTAATTATTCAGGGGGAGAAGATAAAGAAATCGGATCGAGACCGCATCTGAAACCACAAGATTTGATCTGAAGGCTCTATGACCTGTCCAGACACTGCTAGGGTGTATCTGATGATGAAAAATTAAAAATTGAGCACTTCATTCTTTAATTGAGCCCCCAAAGTAACAGATCTTGATCGCTAATTAGGCCATCCCGTGTTTTGGGATTTAGTGAAAAATGGTTGATTTCTTTGTCTTTGGGATTCTCTCTGAGATTAAGAGAAAATGGTTAATTAGATTGATCACGAGGAGGTATTTACTCCTCCTAGCATTGGATGATTGTGTTATTAGACACAGAGAAATCCAGATTTATTCCTGGATTTAAAAGGGACATCGGATCAGATTTTTTATATTATTATTATTTATTATATTTTTTGTGCTCCTAGTTTCTTGGTCGCTCTGTGTTAATGCACTTTTAGAGCAATTAGTGGAAAAAGAAAAACAATAAAATGACTTGAATAGCTAATTTGTGTCTCAGGCTCGCACATCAAAAGTGAAAATGCATGTTAAGATTGCCGAGCTAACGTCGCGTATGAAATTTACGAAAATTAATTTTTCAGAAATTGACCCCTTTCTTCTAGTCTTGTCTGTTGACAAATCTCAAGCAAATACTTTTTTGTGTCTTTTTCTTATAACTTACCTTAAGCATCACATAATTCGAGACATCAGCAACGTATTACATAAAAACAATCAAAATGTAATAAACAGACAAAAGATTTATTTTCTTTCATTCACATTTTAATGCGCTAATTGAAAAAAAAAAAGCTTGCGATGCGCTTCACGTGTTAATATTTTTTCTTCATAATTTATGAATTATGTGTCTTGTCACATTAAAATCAATCAAAAAGAATTTTTGTAGCAGTTGACGGGGGGTTGAAGAATAATAAATATTTATGTAGGATAATGAGATTGTATAAAATTAATTATCCAGACAACGCTCTTCGAATCATAAAACCCACACGTGTAATTTTGGCAGGTTGGATTTTAAATTAATAACTGTTTGCCGTCAATATCTTGTGAATGCATCCTCTTGTAAATATGCACAGATTTCGGGTACCTGATGAACAAGATTACATTAACCAAAAAAATTAACATTAATTATTTTCTTTAATGCATTAAAAACATAATATTTGATGTTCAAAAAATAAATTCTTACTTTTAATATATACAATTGTAAACATTTTTTAAATTATTGATAAAATTAAACACCTACATTTTGTTAAGATTTACACCTAGTTGCAACTGATCTAATGCCGGTATAGGACTGTTATTGGGAATATATTGTAGATGTTTCTGAAATGCTGTAAATAGGTTTTCAACACCCGCGTCTTCCGTCGGTGTTTATAGTAGAATGTCCATTGACTGCAAACTCTGGCGCTTCTGCCATCATCGCCTGTATTCACGCGTCACAGCCGCGATATGCTATTAAATACAACTATTGTTTTACTTACGATGTGTTGGCAAATTGGTGGTGAAAATGCTTTGAAGTACATTGTTTCTGAAAATAAAAGAATGAACATCATACCAAAACAGATACTAGTAACTCCATAATAACTGTATGGAAGACCTGGTTTATCTAATATTTCCCTTCAAAAAACCTTTTTTATTTAAAAAAAATAGAAATATGCAATTCAATATTTGTTAGTAACTGTTCATTCAATTTGATTGCCAATGCGAAATTATGATTTCCGTCATATTATCAATGAATGACGGATCTATTTTTATTTAAGCCCATTTTAGTTCGGTCCTATAATATTATAGTGTTTAAATTTAGCCTTTTTCATTATTTTCTTTAGTACATAACAAGACTAATTAACATTTCTTTAGCTTTACTCTGTAACTCCAATGCTTTCAGTCGGTAGGGCAGGTTTGTTTTACTTCTCCAGATTTTTATTTTCTAATAAAGCGTTTTAGTGTTGGTTTCGCAGACAAGTTTTTATGTTCAACAAACGACATGATATCGCAAGCCTCAGCGGCAGTCTAAGCAGAAACTTCTCTCGTTATCAAACGTACATAAAATTTTTGTGATCATAGATATACATTTTAGAGCTCAAAATTGAAAGGAAGAAGATCATAAAAGTATGATTGCTGTTCTCTTTAATGTCGAGAACCTCTAGTCGTCATTTCATCTGGATCTTCGAAACGCTTTGTGACGTCACAAAACACAAAGAGCTACCCGTTGAAATCTTGGGGTAATAATATTCATGTTGCTGTCACTGCGATACTTTATACATTTAATATACCAACACTCTGTCTTT